TTCAAAGAATTTGTGGATTTTCAAAATAATTTTTAATCTATCCTTAATTTAAATTTTTAAGAATTTCAAACAAACATTTCAAGGACCTCAAGGATTTAGAGGAGATTTTTTTTTTAAATAAATAATATTTATGTCTTATTGGACAAAAGAAATGTTCTTCAAAGTCTTCCGGAACAAAAAATTGAGGATATTTTTATAAATATTTTTTAAGGTCCTCCTGGAAACCTGGAAAAAATCGTTAAATCGTTGCAAGGATTGTGGATACTTTATTGGAAAAATTTCCAGAGTATTTTTCAAGAAGACAACATTTTTAGCCTTTGAAATCTTTCCCATAGAATTTCCCTTGAGTCTATTAAACATGTATCCTTTGTTGTTGTTGAGCTTTATTTGTGATTATTTGTGTTCACAATCCACCAAACCATCCACCCACCCCATCCATCTACCCATCTAGGGGTTATCAATCATTTAGTGCCCATTTTAAGCCAGCGAGTAATTTATTTGTTTATTATGCGGCCATTATTTGTTACAGACATCATCAACATTTGAATAACATCAATCACCGACAAATAAATTGTTGCTTTTCCCATTTCCCAAAAATTTGTAGAACTTTTGCCAGTGATACACAAACAAGACACAACATGGAGCTGTGGATTGATTGTTTGGTATTACAGTGGATCAAAGGGGAAAAATACTCATAAAATGTTAAAGGTTAATTTAGAAGATTTTACAAAGTTATAAATTCGAGATTATTTCTACAAGAAAAATTTTAAGATTTTTAGAGAGGTAGGTAGAGATAGTATCGGTCGGTGTCAGAAGCCCTTGAATGATTTAAAAATTTGAAAATAAATTTTTAAAATTTTAAATCTGAAAATTGTACAACATAAGGTGTACCACTGCGCCCCACTGTTATCAGCTGTTGATTTGTTATTATTTTAAATCCGCCCATATGTGATGATTCGATTAGGCCCAAAAATAACCTCTTCCACGAAATTAAATAGAATTTTCAGAATGAGAAAGGTGCTGGGGTAAAGCACGTAATAATAACAAAAAAACAACAAAAAAGAACTCTGTTCGGAGAATATATAAAAATTTAAAAATAAATTTACAAAATTTCAAAACTGATATTTGTACTCTTTTCGCCCCACTGTAACCAGCTGTTGATATGTTATCATTTTAAATCCGGCGATATGTGATGCTTTGATTTGGTCCGAAAATAACCCCTTCCACAAATTATATAGAAATTGAAATTGAAATAAAAAAATAAAGATAAAAATGAGAAGTCTGTTCGGAGAAAAATCTAGGGCGGCAACAGAACTCCTTGAAAGTTTTGAAAAATTGAAATTAATTTTCAAAAATTTTATATTTGAAAATTGTATCGAAAAATGTTGTGCCCCTGCACCCACTGTAACCAGCTGTTGATTTGTTATCAATTTAAATCCGCCGATATGTGATGCTTTGATTCGGCACCAAATCCAATCGGAATTGCGTGTTATGTTTGAAAATTAGATCCTGTTTTCATTTTGTTATTTTGTTTTCAATCATTCGGAGGATATGTTTCGACCATTTGGCCAATCAATCAACGAACAAATCTCTCAATGATTAATCGATTCGATGTGATGCGACAACTGTTTAGTATTCTAAACAGCCAAAACAGGATTTCAAAAATACAAATGAAAAACAAGATAAACAATTATAAAAATAAATGGGACAGGCTGGTCAAAATGGGAGGTGGGAGGTTTAAGAAAGGTGGAGGGGTAATAGAAACATTACGATTTTTATTTTTTAAAAAATATATTCTAAGTCCTCCAGATTGGGGAATTTGGGTAAACAAATCCTTAACTTCCAGGTCAAAACTTTTATTTTTTAAACCCTCAGCCGTATGGCCAAAACGTGCCTCATCGAAATAGCGGTTTTAGACCCTAGGTCTCTTTGGGCCAAACCCGTTTCAGGACATTTGGAGTCTATTTAGCGATGTCCGTCCGTCTGTCTGTCTGGCTGGTGCGCACGATATCTCTCGAAGGGAGCATCCGATTTAATTCAAACTTAACTTTAATCTACACGTTTAAAATTTTGAAAATTTGTAAACACAGGTGCGGCCGGTCATTTCAAAGGATAATGGAATCATCATTTGTAAAGGTATTGTTGACCACTCAACGATTTCCCTTTCTATTTCTCTCTCTCTCCCTTTTTCTAAGCCTATACGCTCCGTAGCAGTTTCTTGACGTACCATGTCGGATTATTATTTTAAATTTGTGTTCCCTGTTTGTGTCTCCTCTGTCCTTGGCGACTGTTACAAATTTCAACATTTTTATGGGACTTATTTCTTTACAACTAAATCTTTCCTCTTTTCTCTCTCTCTCTCTAGCTCTCGTATCTCTTCATGGAGGCTCTATTTAATCCATTTAATGTTGTCCCACAAAAAAATAAATAAAACAACAATTCAAAAATTCAAAACATTTGATTGCGTTACTCCAGAGAATGTCGACCAAGTAAATGCCACATAAAATTGTCCAACAACTGTATAGACAGTTTTCACTGTAATCACCCGCCTGGTCAAGCCTAGTAAAATTTTATGAATAATCCCCAAAATAAATCCGCCGTGGAATCCAAAGAAAACAAGGTGCTTACTTGTCATTGAAATGAGCAGCAAAACAAAACAAAGGACATTGCAATGAGACTTAAAAAGGACAAAACAATTGTAACTGTATTCCCCGGCAAAAGAACAAAAAGGAACAACAAATTCCATGGAATTGAAGTTTGGCGATTGTACTTGACAGTTAATCTGATTGGGGACCCCCCAGGGTGGGCTGATGATAAAAAAAAATACAAAATAAAAAAAATATAAAAAAACTAAAAATAAAAATCCCAAGGATTTTTAAGAAAATGTGTGGGTTATTTAAGGAAAGATGACAGGATATGAGGGCGGAAAAAATATATTTTTCTTCAAAATTAACTTTTCATGTCCTGCATTTTTACAATTTTTACCCCTGTTTGACCACCTTTGATTATCTTAATGACCTTTATGTCCACCCAACAACCTGTATGTGTATGTTTCCCAATATCCTGCTAAACGGAAACACGAATACAGGTGT